CTTGGCTGTAGACTGAGGGAAAAAAACTTTCAGCACCAATTGTTAGCACCTCAACCAATGATATAAAAGCGGTTAACATGGTTAACATGCTTTTACGTGAGACTCAAGATTAAGCTGTTTTTTAAAAACTATTTAAATGATCTCAAAACAATGTTTAGTGTATAAACTTGAGCACATTTATAGAGTAAGATTATTTTGAGATTCTTATGGATTTTAACCATTATTCACTTTTTATCTTAAATTGCTATATAAAAATTAATAAATTAGAATTTTTTTTTAGGCAAAAACTCTATTATAGTAACACAATGTAATTATCTAGACTAGATTGTAAAGAGTAGGACAAAAATGGACAAGACCAAGGTAAAACTAAAGTTTTCAATTTTTTACAACTTACAGGACAACTTTGAATTTTTAACAGTATTGTTAAATGAGTTGAACACACCTTGTGCACCTCTCTACAGGCATTGAATGAGTGGAGGTAAACTATTTTGCAGTTAGGATTAAAGAACCAACTAATATTTTTTTATACACTTTTAACGATTAAATTTGGATTTTTTTTCTTCTACTTGGTGTTTTTTTTCTAATTTGCTGACTCAGGTACATTTGCATTTTTACCTTAAAGTTAAACACATAAGTATTTTTGTTGGTAACCCAGATTTAGTTAATATTATTTGACCAAATATTAAATTTACTTAACAAAAATCACCCATTACTTTGTCGTTGGCTGAGTTTACATTTTTTTTTTTTTTGAGACAGAGTCTCACTTGTTGCCCAGGCTAGAGTGAGTGCCGTGGCGTCAGCCTAGCTCACAGCAACCTCAACTCCTGGGCTCAAGCGATCCTCCTGCCTCACCTCCCGAGTAGCTGGAACTACAGGCATGCGCCCATTGCCGCAGCTAATTTTTTCTATATATATTAGTTGGCCAATTAATTTCTTTCTATTTATAGTAGAGACGAGGTCTCGATCTTGCTCAGGCTGGTTTCGAACTCCTGACCTTCCAGAGCAGCATTTCTGAACCATCCATGGGCATATGAATCACCTGGGTTCTCTTTAAAATTCAGACTATGAGCCAGCAGGTCTGGAGAGGGGACCTGGGATTCTGCCTTTCTCACGGGCTCCCAGGGGATGTTTATGCATGCATGCTGCTGGTGCAAGGGCCACGTTTTGAGGAACATGGGAAGACATAGAGCCAATTCAGAGTTTTTGAGGTAACGAAAGCCCAGAGGTTTTTTGTTTTTTTATTTATTTTTATTTTTTTGTCTATAAGACCACCTGCTCAAATGATTTCCAAACTCAAGTCCATGGACTGAACCAGCTGCATCAGAATTACTCAGAAGCTTGATACAGATAAAGACATGGATGGATTGCTGGGCTTACCCTGAAGATTCTATCATTGATCATGATATTAGTATTGCTGTGTATATGCTGGACTTTTCATGTCCAGTATCAGCTCATTTAATCTTCACTATAACTCTATCAAATAGGTAATATTTTCCCCCCATGATTCAGATTAAAAAACTGAGGCTTTGAGGGGTTAAATACTTTGCCCTAGCTTAGAATAGTCTTGGTAAGCTCTATTTTTAAAAGTTCCCTAGGCCGGGCACAGTGGCTCACACCTGTAATCCTAGCACTCTGGGAGGCTGAGGTGGGTGGATTGCTCGAGGTCAGGAGTTCAAAACCAGCTTGAGCAAGAGTGAGACCCCATCTCTACTAAAAATAGAAATTAATTGGCCAACTAAAAATATATATAGAAAAAATTAGCCGGGCATGGTGGCGCATGCCTGTAGTCCCAGCTACTCGGGAGGCTGAGGCAGGAGGATTGCTTGAGCCCAGGAGTTTGAGGTTGCTGTGAGCTAGGCTGACGCCACGGTACTCACTCTAGCCTGGGCAACAAAGTGAGACTCTGTCTCAAAAAAAAAAAGTTCCCTGGATGCTGCTGATGTTTTATCTCCCTGTGGAAAAGGCAATCTCAAGTAAAGGTATCCTGTATTTTCTGACAGATTTAACCGTAAATATGAACCTGTTTGTGTTAACTGTGAATCTATCTATCTGCATTTAAAACATGAAAATGCATCTAGACAGAAAAGGCTTCAATTTTAGGAATATGAAAAATCTGCTTCAGCTTGTAAAACATGAAAAAAAAGAAAAAATAAATAAGTTGGGAAGTGTTCTATAAAAAGCGAAAATTTTATATAATGGAGAAGGCAGCAACATATTTATAAGGAATATCTCTGAAATAATGCAATAATTATCTGATAAAACAATAGTACAATTCATTTCAGAGATTTATTGAGCACAGAAGAAAACTGCTGAATTGTCCTTCAAAAGGAAATAGAAAAATATTTGGTATATCAGTACAATGGAATACCTTTCAGTCACTACACACAATAGTTGTAGAAAAATATTTACTGGCATGGAAGTGAGTTTACAATGTAGTAAGAGATATAAAACAATACTTATAACATCTCATTTTTCTTTAAAAGTTGCTGTAATTAAAATATATTTATCCAAAGAATAAAGTTATGGGTGGTTATATACCAAGATGTTAATAGTAGTTCTCTCTGAGTAGTGGGGCTATGGTATACCTTCTTTCTTTTTTTTTTTAATCTGAATATTGGTTAAGCTCCTGCTTTGTGATTGACACTTTACCAAGCATTATGGGGAAAAAAGTGTTTGGGCTGATTCTATCCTTACAAAACTAACTGGATCTATAATAGATTAAACAAAAATATATCAGCCATCTTTTTATTTAACCCATGCTGTGCTTATAAAGGGAACCTGTGGATTAATTTATAGTTCTCTACCAGCCATTGTCCCTCTCCCCCAACTCACATCTGTTTCCATTCCACTTGCCCATCCACCTATTTGTCCATTCATCCTTCTTTTCATCATGCAGTTAACATTCACTATGCATCTGCTATATATCTCTCATTAATGCTCTCTGCTCTCTAGATGCTCATTGTCTTTTTTTAAAAAAAATAAACTTTTTTTTTTTTTTTTTGAGACATAGTCTCACTCTGTTGTCCAGGCTAGAGTGAGTGCCGTGGCGTCAGCCTAGCTCACAGCAACCTCAAACTCCTGGGCTCAAGCAATCCTACGGCCTCAGCCTCCTGAGTAGCTGAGACTACAGGCATGTGCCACCATGCCCAGCTAATTTTTTCTATATATTTTTAGTTGGCCAATTAATTTGTTTCTATTTTTAGTAGAGACGGGGTCTTGCTCTTGCTCAGGCTGATTTCGAACTCCTGACCTCGAACAATCCACCCGCCTCGGCCTCCAGAGTGCTAGGATTACACTAGCACTGAGCCACCATGTGAGCCACCACGCCCGGCCAAAATAAACTTTTAATTTTGGAATAATTTTAGATTTATAGATGATAGTTGCAAAGACAGTACAGAGAGTTCCCATATACCTTCACCCAGTTTCAGTTTTTTCTAATGTTATTACCTTACATTACCATGGTACATTTGTCAAAACTAGGAAACCAACATTAGTACATTACTGTTCACGCTAGACTTTATTCAGATTTTACCAGTTTTCCCAGTAACATCCCCTTTCTGTTCCAGGACCCAATCCAGGATGCTACATTGCATTTTGTTGTCAGGTCTCCTCTGTCTTCTCTGGTCTGTAATAGTTTCTCAGACTTTCTTTGTTTTTGATGATTTTGGATCTTGGCAGTTTTGAGGAATTTTGGTCAGTTATTTTTGTAGAATTCCCCTTAATTTGGGTTTGTCTGATGTGTTTTTGTGATTAGACTGGGGTTTTTGGAAAGAATACCACTGAGTGAAATACCCTTGTCATCACGTTGCATCCAGGGTACCTAGTATCCACATGAAATTCTGGATAATGTTAAATTGATCATTCGGTTAAAGTAATATTTGCCGGTTTCTCCACTGCAAATTTACTGTTTTTCCCTCTGGATGTGAGTCACTGAGCTCAGCCACCCTGTAGGACAGGAAGGATTAAGTTTCCTGAAGGAGGGCAGTGTCAACATATTTTGTTGGAAATCTTTAAGGAACTCTTGTCCCTTCATCTTTGTTGATTTATTCCATTACTTACAGCAGTATGGACTCATAGGTATATTTATCTTATACTTTGGGTTATAATTCAACACACAATTATTTTTTTCCTTAAATTGTTTTTACCTTGGCCACTGAGAGTCTTTCAGTTGGCTCCTGGGTCCCCTTGGCATGCCCCCGTTCTTTTGTTTTTTGAGTACTTCCTTATTTTCTGGTACTACAAGATGCTCCAGGCTCATCTTGTATTTTCCCTGTCCGAGCCTTGATTCCTTTTCCTGGAATCAAGATATGGCTGCTGGGCACTCATTGTCTTTGAGAGGAAGAAGGCAGAAAAAGTGAAAACGTTATGTGTACTGTACAAAGAGCTATGGAAGCAGGGAGGACACAGTAGGTACTTCTGCCAATGGAAGTCTTCACTGAAGAAATGGTATTTTAATTTGAGTAGAGATTTCTAGACAGAGGTCGGGGTTCGGGGGAGAGATGGGAAAAGGTAGGAGAAGCTATATGTATATGCAAAATCAAGGGAAAATGACTTTAATTTGATCTGACTGTAGACTTAGAAATGGTAGTAGCCCTTCTTTGATTTTCTCATTAACATAAAAATTAGTCATTTTCACATATTGTATTTCTTTAAGGGAGGATTTTTCTCTATATGAGCCCTGACTGTTGACTGTTCTCCCTCCTTCCTTGTCTTCCTTCCAGTCTTTCTTCCACCTAAATGTATCTGGTTCTTACTCTCTGCCAGGCCCAAGGCCAGGCTCAGAGGATACAGAGGAGAATCTGACAGCTCCTTCCAGCAAGTAGTTTTCCAGTCCAGTGTGAGATCCTTTTGCTCTCTTCTGTTCCCTTTAGCCCTTTACCAAATATCTAATTTTTAATTCTTTGCAGAAAGCATAAAAAGTAAAGAGAAAGTACTAGCAACGTCTGTATTGTGAATCTGACATGATACTTGACTCACTTGAAAGTCTTTTCTGTTCACAGATAACAATTGGTGTATATGATCCCTGTAACTTAGCCCAGTACCCCGGATGGCCTTTGAGGAATTTTTTGGTCCTAGCAGCCCACAGATGGTATTTATGAGTGTGTCTGTCTGTCTTTGTCTGTATGTTTTCGACAGTGTGTCTGCCTGTGTCTATATCTCTGTTTTCCCAAATGTATCTTTATCATGGAAACCAGATAATCAATCAATCATGATCCAGTGTCCATACTGGTGAGCCCTTAAACAGGTCTGTTAGGAAGCTGCAGACTCTGACCATACTGTCCTAATGATATTTTAGCCTGTGGTAGGGTGGGTAGCCAGGGGTCTGTCACTGAAATTCTGAAGCCTCTCTTCCAGCTGTCTGGGTTGCTTTCAGAGAGAATTTTTCTTATTGCTGTTATCCTCCATATTTCTTAACCCTAAAATAATTAAAACAGAGGGTATCTAAAAGGCCAATATATATTTGAAAAGATGTTCAACATCGTTAGTTATCAATGAAATAAAATTAAAACCATCATGAGATGCTAATACATATAACAAAAATGAGCGTACCGAGTATGTTGAAGATGTGGAGCAATTGGAACTCTCAAATACTGCTGAAAAAATATTTGGCAATCTACCAAAGTTAAAAATATCTATGGCTAAGCAATGTTACTATTAAGTGTAGTATGCACAGAAGTGCACATGTAGATACAAGCAAAACACATATACAAGAATATTTATAGCAGCATTATTCTTAACCAAAAAACTGTAAATAACCCATGTGTCCTTCAGTAATGAAATGAAGAATAAATTGTAGTGTGTACCCCTTACAGTGGAATGCCATGTTGCAGTGAATCTGAATGAACTACTAATACATGTATCAACATGGGTGAATTTAAAAAATATAATGTTGTATGAAATAAGCTGGACCCAAAAGAATACATATCCTATGATTTTATTTACGTAAAGTTCAAAGCAGGCAAAACCAATGTGTGGATTTAGAAGTTAAAGTAGTTGTTACTTTTGAAGGGAGTGGTTAATGACTTAGAGAAGGCATGAGACAGTCTCCTTTGTACTTGGGATTTGTATGATTTTCTTCGTTGCTTTCTTAAATAAAAATGTTTATTTGAAATTATGAAGATAAATAAATTATAGATTGTCCCCAGAGAGATAAAATCTGTAATTATCTGGGTGGTAAGTCTGTATAGTGAAAATGGGCTTCTAACTACTAACTGAGGTGCCATTTCATAGAATGGAAGTTCAGATGGGGGGAAAGGGAACCAGAAGAACCCATGTCTTAGACATTCTTTTTAAATGTCTTACGTGCATTTTTTCCCTGCATTTAAAAGATACATTTGTCTGAATTATTTATATGCAGTGTGATTGTTACATAAAATTCACCTAGAATGAAATCACAGCCAATTCATTGTTGACTCTCTAAATACTTGGACAGAGGAAGCATATGTGAATATGTTCAAAATCTCTCAAAAGTTAAGGCCATCCCCCAAGGGTGTCAGTGAGGCATAATTACAGTGAATTGAATTCTCTCCAACTGGTTTGCTGAAGCTCTTATGTGAGCCCTTTTTTTTCTTCCCTAAAAAAAATAAATAAATAAATAAATAAAACTCTGGGGCATGACAACAGGAGTAGCAGTTTCCAGTTTGTTGAAGTCCTCTGCTTCCGTGACCGAACCATGCAGGGAGCGAGAGACGTCACCCACAGCATCGTCTTCGAAGTGAAGCTTCCAGAAATGGCGTTTAGCCCAGGTAATTTGCCAGTCTTTGAGAATGCATATAATTACCATTTATCAGAAACTGAATCAGGTTTTCTTTCTTTTCATCCCTTCACAATGGTAGCAGAAGGGAGAGAAAAGTACAGCTTCCTCTTTGCCAGCACAAACATCTACTTTGAACAGAGGGCATGCTCTGCTATTCAGGCTGAAACAAAGAGAAAGATTGTCACCAGGACATTTTCTCCAGGCAGTTTTTTTAGTCTTGATGATTTTGTCCGCCTAGTTTTCATTTTCATTTTTGTTTAGCACAAAATCTTTATTCCTGTCCATTCTTGGAGGATGTGATATTAATGTACTTAGATATTTATTTATTATATACTTTTTAAAGTTGTGTTTGATCCCATTCTCCATAGAGTAAACTGGTCAGTAAAAGTGCCATTTCTCCTTCCACATTTAACATTTTCATTCAATCCTGCGTGACAGACATCAGCTATTATTCCTGTTTTGTAAATTCAGAAACTTTGTGAGACATTTTATCTATAGAGATATATGTGTGTATGTGTATATATATATGTACATATGTACACACATTTATATTTTTACATATGTCACAGAAATAGAATACATACTCAAGTTTGAGTAAAATAAGGATAATAATGCCCAACTCATAGAGTATTCTTTTTTTTTTTTTGGCCAGTCAAATTTAGTAATAGAATATTCTTTTATGAGTAATGTATGTCCTGTGTCAAAGAGATTGCACAATATCTGGCATATCATAGATGCTTACTAAAGGTTATTTAATGCTAATTTCCTATGTCATGTGAAACCTAGTACTTTTATACATCTTGCCAAGATAGTCCCTTATATCCATGTGACTTACATGCTCTCCAGAGTACTTTCACATATATAGTTTAATTTGTTTCTCACAACATCCCTGTAGTTCCGAGGCATATTTCTTTCTTTAATCCATAGGTATGCCTTAAAGTGTGTGTGTGGGAGGGAAGGGGTTGTCAAAATCTCTTCTGAGATACTAATATCTTTCCTAGAATGCAAAAGTCAGAATTCAGAATTGGCTCGGGTGACATTCTATCAGCAATTCTATGCTCCAGCACATATGTGTTAAACAGACTTCTGGGAAAGATTGACAGTACTCTGCTTGATCAGTCAAAGGAGGAAGCTGTTTTTAGTTTAAACTTAGAGCCTTAAGAAATCCTTTGCCTGTCTGCTGTCTTTAGATATTTGCATTGGATTTAGCACCCTCTTCTGGCACATTCTAAAATAGCTTCTATGTACTGTTAACTTGCATGCCATACCTTTGTTTTATTAAACCACACTTAAAGGTAGTCTAGGGAAATAATGTAAGAGTTAATTAAAAAGTGATGAGGGTTTGGTCTGTTACCTTCTGGTAGCACTCACTTAATCCTGCCAACCACCTTGCGGGAGATACTTTTCTTTCACTTTTATGGTAAAGTCACTGAATTACTCTTATTTTCTACTCTATAATGAGGCTAAATGCTTGATAATGCTGACATTCAAACTCAGGAGCCACCATACATTTCCATTTGAAAAAGGTTTTCTATTTTCTCCCATCCAAGTACTAACCAGGCCCGACCCTGCTTAGCTTCCGAGATCAGACGAGATTGGGCGCGTTCAGGGTGGTATGGCCATAGACTATTTTCTAATCTTTCAATACATCTTCTTTATGCTTGATACCAAATGCAGATTATTTAGTTTAGGAAAAGCAGATGAATTTCTTGTTTTTGTATAAATTAATGTTTTCCCCCTTAGCTGTAAATAAAACGTTATAAATAGTTATTCTTTATCGTAATGTGAGCTGAAGGTATTAGTATGATAGTGCTTGTGAGTATTTCTAAGACATACCATAGTTACAATAGTATATGAAGTATTATTTTAAATCTCCTGTATCACTCTTGCTCCCTCCGGGTGTAGCCATGCCCACTATCCATAGCTGGTATAGACTATGCTGGCACCTGGCAAAACGAGGCAGCATACACTATGGGGTGGGAGGGTCCCCTTACTCATCTTACCTCTCATCCTTCGTGTGCTCTTTCTGGTTGCCCAACTGTGGGAGAATAGCACTGAATTTTCCCCTAAAAATATTTTTTCTCATTATTTTGGGGTATGTTATATGGGTATAGGTTATATGGAGGCAAGTATTGTAAATTAAATATTATTATCATAATGTATTTTTTTCATTATTCAGTTTAAGCTATTTCCTTTCACTTGAATGCTTAGGAAAAAAGAAAGTTTAAGCTACATCTAATTTTCTTAGAAATGGCTGTCATCTTTTTGTTAAGAGATGGGGGTCTTGCTATGTTGTCCAGTCTGGCCTTGAACTTATGCACTCAAGCAGTCCTTCTGCCTCAGCCTCTGAGTACCTGGGACTCTAGGCACTAGCCCAGTAGCTACAAACTTTTAAGTATAGAGATCTTTTAATTTGAAATGATACTTTGTTTTTATCTTATAATTTCTTATCTGTAATAGGAGAAAACCTGGGCTGGAGTTATTGATTATGATACTAGGCTGTGATTTTGTAGTTTTTGTCAAGTTCCTGTGCTATGAATTAGAGAAGTGTTTTTTATTTAACATAAGAATAGTAAGAAAATCAAACAAAATATGCATCAATATCAGGTCTAAACTTTTTTTCCCCCCCAGAAAAAGAGTTGTAAAGTCTTAACCACTTTAAGAACTCAAGTCTATTATTTCAGTTTTAGTTTTTCATGGCATTAAAACAAGGGCCACACCATAGTGCCTGACTTAAAGTGGGAAGGGGCATTTGTTTTCTGGTTTCTTGCTGTGAGTGACACCCCCAGGCAAACTGGCGCCTAGGTACTTTCAAGGATAATTGGCTTCATGGTTTCCTTTTGGTCATCCTATCCCAGAAACAAAAGATTGTGTACAGGAAATCAATATCTTCCAGATCCCATAATTATATAGAGCAATACTGTTTTAAACAAAAACATCAAAACCTAAAAAATTTCCTAAGGAAGGGAAAATGATTTGATGGAAATCTAAAAGTTAGGAGTATGATGGCCAGTCATGGTGGCTCATGCCTGTAATCCCAGCACTCTACGAGGCCAAGGCAGGAGAATTGCTTGAGGCTAGGAGTTCGAGATCAGCCTAAGCAGGAGTGAGGCCTTGTCTCATCAAAAAATTAGAAAAATTAGCTGGGTGTAGTGGATACTCAGGAGGCTGAGGCAAGAGGATCATTTGAGCCCAGGAGTGTGAGGTTGCAGTGAGCTATGATGACGCCACTGCACTCCAGCCTCGGTGACAGAGTGAGACTCTGACTCAGAAAAAAAAAAAAAAAAGTAGGAGTACAGGCAAAGAAAACCAGTATACAATTAGAAACAAAAAATAAAATTCCTCCTACTAATCATGCATGTTACCTTTAAGTCAAGGAGTTTCTGTTCCTTCAGAGACTGTTACTTAAGGTAGACGTTGGAGGTAATGCTGGAAGTATAAGATGGTGGCTGGGTGAATTCCCTGGTTAGGAATTGAGGCTTTAATGCAAGCAGTGAGATTCAGTGAGAAGGGGAGAGTGACAGAGGTCATGAGACATAGGGAGTGGAAGAGAGTGGGCAGCCCCCACTAGTGAGATCTACAAGGCTGTGGTACCACCAGGGAAAGCAAGGCTTCCATTAACGTGAAGAGGTAGCAGGAGTGGTCTACAGAGCAATTGAGATTTTTAAGAGAATTTTGCAACAATAGGATAGCACAGCATTTCCCTGAGTGTGTCCCATGAGGTTTTAATTGTTTTGGGATGACGGAGGGAGATATGGAGAGCTATATAAGTTTGGGAAACACAAAGCCAAATCAAATAAAGTGGTTTCTTTCTGCAGGCGTCTCAGAACTTTTATCTCCCTCATGTGCAATATGAACTTCCAGATTTGGCTGGTAGTGGGGGCTGGATATAAAATACAGATTTAAGTATAGCAGCATTTCCCAAATCTGTTTAGCCACAGGATCTTTATCCTCTGAGAACATTAAGTAGGATGTGTGCTTGAGGAACTGCTGGAATTGGAGTTACAGCGGCCCCCATAGAGAGGGTTAAAAGAGGGCAGTGGAAAATGGATAAGTCAGGGAAGGGGTAATTCAGAGTGGATGAAGATGAGCTTAAAGGGGAGGGCAGCGTAACAGAGGGGCAGTCACCTTGGACTGTGATCTGCACACAGATGCTGAGAGGCCAAGCAGAGGGGCCTGGTGAGGATGGGCAACAGAAGGGACGTGCTGAACTTAATGGGTCAGCTTCCAGTAGGAACGTCGATGGAGAGTGTGCCCCTTAGATAGAGAGCCCGCCACAGGGTTATGCCTGCCCCAGATATGTCTTTCTGGGGGCAACTTCTCGTGAGTCAGAAGTTGAGGCAACTTGGGCCAGAGTTGAGGGCCATTTTAGAAGCTCCTGTGTTCCAGTCTGATAGTCTCTGAACAGGATTCCCAGTAGTTGAGGAAGGTGAGGAAGTAACTGCGGCAAGTAGATGAAAATTCAGGACCTGGGGTCAGAGAAAGAAGTGAACTAAAAGCTTAACATCACATGGGCCGTTGTGAATGTTAACCATTTTTAAGCAAGCTTACTGCTTGAACCTATTTGTTTGTATTCTCCCCTCCTTCGTTAAACTTAGTATTTTATTTGCCTTAAGATTGTCCTAAAGCAGTTGGATGGGAAAAGAACCAGAAAGGAGGCATGGGACCGAGGATGGTGAACCTCAGTGAATGTATGGACCCTAAAAGGTATATTTTGGAAGCTGTTTTCTCCAGTGGGGCTTTTCACACACCAGGTCCTGTCAGGCTGACACCACATTGTGTAATTCAGTTCAGGGTTTCCATTCATATTGGCAGGGAGTATTATTCTGCTCTCTGCCACCTAACTCTTAAGCTTGGATGTAAGAATTAGTATTAACTGTAGATGCCCTGAAGAACGCACAATTCATCTGTTGTTTTAGACATTCTAAATTTTGTTCTTGCTTCAAGTTCAGACTCTCAGACTAGTATACCTGTACTGCCTTTTAATTCTTTATTCATTGTCCTTTGGCCTTGTCCTATTGGCCATTGAAGGATATTATAAGAAGTATTTCAGGGAAACCAGTATTGTATTTGAGAGTGAATGTAAGTGCATTCTTTATCAGGTAGACATGGAAGAAATTTCAGTTTTTAGTACTAGGAAAAACTTTCCTTTTAATCAGTTGGTGTGTTTTTGTTCGTGGACACAATGACTGTTACAACTGGTCATGCTTTTCTTTTCACCTTGGCTGCGAGGAGCTCAGTGTCAAATTTGTGGCCCACCACTAGCAATTGCAGATGACTACAGTGGCATGAGTTCCATGTGGGAACCTTTCTCCAACCTGCTTACCCTCAAGCTCCATCTTCTTTGCCCTTTGATCCCAATTTCCTTATTATTTCTTGTTTTCTCCCATAACTACTTTATATTTGGGGGGCCATAGATGAGTGACTGAATGAATAAATAAATCTTTCATTTTCTAGGTTAGCTGAGTCATCAGTGGATCTAAATCTCAAATTGATGTGCTGGAGATTGGTCCCTACTTTAGACTTGGACAAGGTTGTGTCTGTCAAATGTCTGCTACTTGGAGCCGGCACCTTGGGTTGTAATGTAGCTAGGACATTAATGGTAAGTTTGTGGGAGCCAAGTGGCACCTTTGAAGCTCTGGCTTCTCCTCTTGTTTCATTCTACATGATTGTCTTCCATCTCCCAGATTCCTCCTCCCTTCTCTCTCTCCCTTCCTTCCGTTTTTCTTTTTTCAGTGTCTTTTTGGTTAGAAAAGAAATATATGCTTTTATTAAAAGCTAAAAACAGAAAATCTTCCTCCACACCCATCCAAGTCTCACTTCTGAGAATTAAGCAGACTTCATAGATCAGTATGTAACATATCTTTCCCAGATGTTATGTTGGCATATTTAAGCAGAGAGACTTTGTGATCTTTGCTGTTATGTATTTATATTTATAAAAATTACATCATAGCATACTATCTGTAACAGGTTTTTATTTTTAACTTGATAAGAAAAATCATTGTGGCTATCTTTCTATGTTTCCATACAATGTATCTGTGGTATTTTGTTACATGACTATGTCCTCAGTTTATTCAATCAATTTTAGGTTATTTTCCATTTTTTTTCTATTAGAGACTGTATTCTCTATTAGAGAAGATCCTTATACTTGTATGTTTACCTATCCATAGAATTATCTCTTTAGGAAAAAAGCCCTAGATGTGGAATTGCTATGTTAGAATGTATAATTTACATATATATGTAAAAATATATGTTTTTTATTTTAAAAACTTTTCTAAAACTAAATTACCTTCCAAAAACATTATGCTAGTTGGTAGAGCTTTTTTCCACACTTGCCAAAATTGGATATCAACTTTTAAAACCTTTGTCAGAGCAGTCAGTTAATAAGTAACATCTTATTGTTCTAATATGCATTTATTTAATTAGCAAATGTGAGTTTCTTTTGTGAATTAATGATTTTTGTGAAAAAATTGAAAATCATTATTTTTCCATCTTTATCAAATGCTAAATCCCCTTGTATATATATATGAGTTTCTTTATGGATTTTCTATTTTTGACCCATTGATCTATTTTTTATTTCTACATTCCTAGCCACTGTTTTAGTTGGAATTACAGTAAATTTATAGATAAATTAGAAGGGATTGATATCTTTCTGACATTGATCCTTAGTTCCAGAAGTGTTGTTTATCTGTTAATTTAATTAGATAATTTTTATCTTTTAGTAGCTTTTTCTTTATATAGACTTTGCACAGGTCTTATTTAGTTTAAATATGTTATTTTTACATATTTAATTTTTTTTTCATAAAGATATTTCAAGATATTTTCTCCCAGTTGACCATTACTGGGATATAGGAAAGATAGTGACTGTTGCATGTTTATCTTTATCTGGCCATTTTTCTAAGATCTCATAGTTCTAATTGTTTTTTGTTTGACTCTTTTGAATTCTGTAGGTTGATAGTATTCCTCACTAACATTTATATCTCTGTTTCTTTTCCCTGTCTTATAAGATTGGCTTGAACTCCATAGTAATGTTGAGGAATAGCAGTGAGAATTGGCATCTTTGTTTTGTTAATGGCTTTAATGAGAATGCCTCTGGGTTTTGCCTTTAATTTTGATATTGTTTTCTGCTAAATATTCTTTATAAGTTAAAGGAGGTGATTTCTGTTTCTGTATATTTATATCAGAAATCAATGGTGAACTTTATCAGATACATCTATCAAGATAATCAAAGTATTCTAATGTTGAGCTTTCCTAGAATAAACCCTGTTTGTTCTTGGTATCTTATTCTTCTCATATAGTTTGGAGTTCAGTTGGCAATGTTTTATTTATAAATTTTACATCTGAATTCATAAGTTGGTCTATAAGTAATGTTTTTCCTTGTATCTTTGTATTTTTTATAGCTGAGTTATGCTAGCTTTAACAAATAAATGGAAAACTTTTTGCCTTTTTCTAAGCTCCAGAACAGTTTAAATATATGAATTATCTCTTCCTTGATGGTTAGGTAAAATTCAGTTATAAGTCCATCTGGGCCTGATACCTTTTGGAATTTTGTTGGTTGTAGGGGGTGCAGGGAATCTTTGGGAACTTTTATAGATGTTTCTCTGTTGACTTACCTTTTTAGATTTTATGCTGCTTTTCAGTCCATTTGGTTTCCTAGACTATCATCCATTTCATCTAACTTTAAAAATTAATTGACATTAAATACATATGGTGTTCTCTGATCACCTTTTAAATCTTCTCTTTATCTTTTTAAAAATCTTTCCACATTCATAATATATATTTGTGTTTTGTCTTTTTTTCTCTTATTCAGTCTTGCCAGAGAGGCTGGTCTATTAATGTCTTTTTGGAACACTAAATACTTAATTTATGTATTAGTTGTATAATTTTTAAAAATTTTGTTTTGTTCTCAGATTCATTAATGTCTACTTTTTTCTTTATTAGTTTTTTCTTCCTTTTATGGAATTTATTTTATTGTCTCTTTCTAGCTTCTAGAATTATTAGGTGCTTAGATTTTCTTAATTAATAGTTTGAAAAATTATAAAGTCAGCATACATCCATTATAGAAAATTTGTAAAGCATAGAAGTCATAAAGGAAGAAAGAAGACATACACATTGTCCTACCACTTTTTTTTACTTATGTCTTTCTAGTGTTTGTTTAATATATATTGTTAAGTATTATTTGATATATAATAGTGCCCCTTGCTTTTACAATTAGCATTATAAATACTTTCCTATGGAGCAATTTTTTTTTTTGTAGACAGGGTCTTGCTGTGTTACCTAGGCTGGGCATGAACTTGTTATCTTCCCACTTCAATCTCCTGAGTAGCTGAGACTATGGGGGCAGGCCACCACACCTGGCTAAAGCCTTCCTAATGGCTACAGAATATGCCTCCTTATATGATGAAATATAATTTACTGAAACATTCCCCTAATGTTTGGCATTAACATTGTTTCCATTGGCCAGGTATGATAGCTGATGCCTGTAATCCTAGCACTCTGGGAGGCTAAGGCAGGAGGATTGCTTGAGCTCAGGAGTGCGAGACCAGCCTGAGCAAGAGTGAGACCTTGTCTCTACTAAAAATAGAAAAATTAGCTGGGCATGGTGGTACTTGCCTGTAGTCTCAGCTACTTGGGAGGATGAGGCAGGAGGATTGCTTGAGCCCAAGGGTTTGAGGTTGCTGTGAGCTAGGCTGATACCACTGCACTCTATTCAGGACAACAGAGTGAGACTCTGTCTCAAAAACCAAACAAACAAAAATATTGTTTCCAATTTTTTACAATTGTAAATTGTGTTGCAAAGAATATCTTTGTGATTGCATCTTTGTCAGTATGTCAGATTATTTCTTAGGATAAATTGCTGGAAGTAGGTCATAGAATGTGAGTATTTTTAAGATTCTAGAAACATTGCCAAATTGTTTTCCAGAAAATGACACCAGTTTAATATTCTTAACCAGTAAGATGGTTTTCTCACCACCACATTGTCATCAGCATTGAGTATTGTAATTTTCTTTAATCTTTGCAGATTAGCTATTTAAACTGTATAGCATTCCAGGAAACCAAAAGTTAAGTGTGCAAATACACCTGCATGTAACTGACCTATGGCATGTTCGTAATGTATCTGGCTTTCTTACACTGCCCAGCACGTTTCCAGACTGGCTTCTTTGATATCCACTCAGAAGGTGCTTTCAGGAATGCAAAAATACTTCACAATTAAATATCCCCAAAGCAAGCACAAATGACATTTGGATTTTCCATACCTTTATTTCCGCTCCATGGTAAGTTGCTTAGCTGGAGAAAGTAACTTACAAAACTGGATGGGTAGATCAGAAGGTTACCAGTGTTCTACAAATGGCCAGTCTACACTATGGTTATGAAAGTGGATTCTGGCTTGTCATTCTCAACCCTGAAAATGAATCTTGGATCCTTGTTGACTGTCCCTCTAAAGCCGTCATTCTAATTGAGTCTTACACTTTCTAATGAAAGGATATGGATGTAAAAGAGTAGAATCTTCACTTTGTAGCCAGTCGTGGCAGGACTTTTCTTAGGTTACTTTGCCATTTACCATCTACTAAAGTAAACCCACCCTACCCCACCACCAAAAAGTAGGCATCTTCATTTGGTTACAGGTGTGGAGATCTCATTCATTCCTCACCATTAACCAGATGTATGACCTTAGGCAAGCCACTTACCTTTCCTGGGCTTTAGTTTCCATATCTGTTAAACTAAGTGATTGGACTAAGGATTTTAGAGATCCCATCCAACTTTAAAATTGTATGGTTCTATAAAACTTTATAGGAGACATAATTGAAGTCTATGAAATCATGAAAACTATTTCTAAGAATATAGAATTGTTCCCTAAATTCAGATTATTAATGAGGTGTCTGGCTCTTAGAGAAATAGTATGAAATATTTTATATATTATACAGTGGGAAATAACTTATAAGTCATTTTTCTGAGGAGTTAATTCAGGCTTTAAATGAGCTTCAAAAATAGTTATTATTTATACTTAATTATTCATTAAGGGATATCAAGAACATTTAGGGGGTATTGCTAATCCTTTTAAAACAGCAACATACACAGTTCTTACAGGATTTACCTCCAAATCTTTCTCTGGTACCACTGTCAAAAATAATGAATAAAAGTCAGACCCACTCTTACATTTAAAAAAATCTCATTACTGCAGGAAACCAGGCACTGAGTATGGAATTATTTTGTTTTTTAAAGGAAGTCAATATTCTGTTTATCAAAAACTGAATTTGTACAATTCAATTTCTGAAGTCTCCTGTATTTTAAGGTTCCCAAGCTGCTCCAAAGCAATATCTCTTTTGAGATTTCAAGAGCTACACGCTGTGAAATAGTCATCAGAAACATACCATGATCTGTTCTCACACAGGGCTGGGGCGTCAGACACATCACTTTTGTGGACAATGCCAAGATCTCCTACTCCAATCCTGTGAGGCAGCCTCTCTATGAGTTCGAAGACTGCCTAGGAGGTGGTAAGCCCAAGGCTCTGGCTGCAGCTGACCGGCTCCAGAAAATATTCCCCGGAGTGGTATGTTGATGCTTTGGAGGAATGTCAGAGGCTTTCTCCCATATCTTTAAAAGTTTAAGTCTTGGGAAATGAGGCCCTGTGGTATTGGTGAAAGAGATTCAGACATCTGTCACTCCCTACCAGGTACTCTTCATGTGGCTGAGCCTCTGTTTCCTCATCTCAGAGATAGGGATTAAAAAACATGACAAAGCTCTCACATATTCTTGCAAAAGAATATGAAGAAATGTTTTGTAAGTTGCAAAGCATTGTATGAGTTTAAGTTGAGGAATTTGGGGGTAAGTATATTTTTATATGCTGCCTGGTTCCAAAGGAATTTACAGTGGTTTGGATCTAAGATACTACTTTTCCTCCATTATCGGAACACAGTAGTTACTTAGTATAGGTTTGTGAAATTAAATTGAATGGAAGTCTTTGTGGAAGAAAGATTATGCTGAAAGTTTTAGCTTTTTGCTCTAGCTGCTGCTTGTTTTCAAGTTACATCATTTACTTTAGAAATACCAGATAACAAGAGAAAAGTCATTCAGCTCATTTGATTCAAAATCTTGGGAGTTTTTTCCCCTAAGGTCAACCAGCAGAAGAGATTCTGCAGCTTGAATACTTAATCAATTTATCTGACAGGAGTTAGATCAGGTGTCTCTAAAGCATCTGCTTATATTTAAAATGCCAGAAGGGGCTCTCAGTCCTAGCCAAAAAAAAAAAAAGCCCACTTTCTCAAAGTTTCTCTCTTTAGCCACTTACTATTAAATTCCTTCATTTTAGAAATCTTTGCTTTAGAAGCAACATTAATGGTTCTGTCCATTTCAACAGTGTCCCTAAGGAATATCATTTATTGGGTTTAATTCAACAGTATTGATCAGCCACCCACTATGTACCCAGCTATGTGCTGGATGCCAGAAGAAATAAGAGAAAGTTGCAACCCTGTCATTAAGAAGGCATATTAGGTTTCTGCTGTGCCAATATTTCATATCATACAATCCCAAAATCTCAGTGGCTTCCAATTGCAAACATGTATTTCATGCCCATCAGTGTGCAGGTTGGATGTGGTTCAACTGCTGGGGCTAGGTTGAATTCCAGATGTTGAGTCAAATTCTGAACTGCTGTATATGTCATTATTTCAAATCCTAGGTTAAAGGAAAAGCAGTCATCTGGGTCCTACTCTTCTCATGGTAGAAGGTGTAAGCTTAAAAGCATTGGTGATTATCTGCCTCTTAAAGTCTTAGCTCAACAATGGCACAGTGCAATGTCTTCCATTTCTATTGCCAAAGCCAGTCACAGGGTCAAGCCGAAAGTCAATGGATTGGTCAGTATACTCTGCCTTCATAGTACAAGATTCTGCAAAATCATGTTGCAAAGGGTGTGGATATGTAATTCTACTAGAGGGTGGAAGTGCAGAGTTGGGAAGAATAATTCAGTGTATCACTGGAGAATATTATGAACCCTTGGGGCCCAGACAGACTAGGCTTTGAATCTGAACTCAGCCACTTAGTAGTTACTTGAAATTTTTGCTTACCCAAATCCTAGCCATTTTCAATGACCCAATACAATTCCTTCTATTTATTTGTTGGTTTATTCTATTACATACACACTTATCAGATAATTTATTTAAGGCCTACTATGTGCCAGGGACAGGGGATCTAGGCAGACATAGCTCCCTCTCGCCTGAATGGAACTCATAGTCTAGTGGGGGAGATGGTCATTAACAAATAGTTTGACAAATAATTATAATTGTAATATGTGCATGAAGCAGGAGCTCAGTTGCCATGAGAATGTATAACAGGAAGGCCTGACCTGGGCTGGGGCTGGGGCTGGGGTCATGGAAGACTCTTGGGGAAACAAAACCCTGAAGGATGAGTGGGAGCTAGCTAGCTAGCTAGCTAGACTGAGGGTAGCAGAGCTGTCTCTGCAATCACCTGAAGTAGGAAGAAGCACCATGCTTTTATGGAACTGAAAGAAAATTGGGGTGACTGAAGCATAGTGGTCAAGAAAGACTGCTAAAGTGGGAGCAAGGGCCACCATGCTGGGCCTAAGAGATCAAGTTCAGCTCTTGTTGAAAACATCAGCCCCCACAATCAAGCCTTTTCCTTAGCATGTACAGCATGTTATTCTGTTCTCCCTGTTGGATTATTAAGTTCTTGAGGCCAGAGTCCAGGTCTCTTATACTCTTATCCATCATGCCTTATATATAATAGTAGATAATATACAGAACCCATCAAAGTACTAGTGTAATTCATCAAATTCATGAAAAACACTTGTGAAACTATTTAACTTATTGGTTAGCCAGGCTTAAGGCATTTCTTTTTATATATTTGATTTAATGTAGTTTTTTCATGCAACAGATGCTTATTCATCACCTTCCTTACACTAGGCCATGAAAAGGCTAGGCCTAAGTGAAGAAGTCATGGCCCTGCCCTCATGGAGCTTATATTCTAGTTGAGGAGCTACATATTGAATAATTAACTAAGTAATTATTTAATTACAATTGAAATAGTAAGTGCTAAGGAGGTAAGTCAAGAGTGCCAAGGAAATATAGACGAAGGGGACCTGTGCAGGTCTGAGGGGCCAAGGAAAGCTTTTTTGAGAAAGTAACATTTGGACTGAGCTTTGAAAGCATTGATTAAGAGCCTGGTTTAAGGGAGGCAGGCAAGGAGCAGAGAGTGGTGGGAGAGGCCAGAGGCGAGGAAGAGCATTCCAGGAATGAAAAGTGCCCTCCTCAAGTTAAGAGGTATATTAAATGCAAACTTCCAAGATACCTGGTTACCTGGAAAAGTTAGAGAAATCCATTCTATTAATGCAAGGATATATAATTTATGCTATCTGTCACCTGTTCACTTATTGAAAAACTCTAATCTCCATGCTGGAAGTCTAGTGACATTTGACTTAAAAAAAAATAATGGGTGATAGACCTTTTAAAACATTTTAAATTTTGAAATAATACATTCACAGGAAAGTGCAAAGGAATGTACCAGAAGGTCATGAGCACCCTTCACCCAGCCTCCCCTGGTTGGTAGACCTCAGAAACAGGATGGTTTCATTGGATTGCTGGCCTGAACAACCTTTAATGCTCCCTCGGAACTAGAAAGTCTGACTTTTGGCTTTTGCTCTAAAATATACTTGACCCAAACTATGTTCTGGCCTCAGGCCTCAAGTAACTCAAAGGCCAGTTCATGAGAAACTCTGGACTTTTATCTGCATGGTATTCCTTGAGTAATTCCTGCACTCCAGGATATAGGTGTCATATTGACCCTTTCCAAGTGCCTTAAAAAATGCTGTGGTGAAATTGAGTTAAGACAGGGATTATAGAGCTACACTCAAAGTTTTAAAACCCAACTCTGGACATCTGCTTCCAACCTTGATGAGAAACCGATACTGGACTGAGCTCTGCCACCATAAACAGCTATGCACTGGGGACAATACATAAAGCAACTCTTTTCAGGCAGGGAGTAGGCAGCGAAAGGCTGTGGTCCTAGATAGGGAAAGAAGGGAGATGTGACCCAGCTCAGTACATGGAGGCGCGCTCTGGCCCGTGCCAGAGCCCGTGGGAGCCCAGGGAGATACTCTTGGTCTTGATGAACTGTGGAAACAAAGTTCAGAGCAGCTGAGGTGGCTGGAATTTGAAGGCTATAGTGCCAGACATGAGGGAGCTATGTAGAGGAGTTTTAGAAAACTGCCTTGGCAGCACCTTGAGTGTTTGACCCAATAGTGAGCTGCACATACATAAGGCATGACTCTGTAAGCCTGGGCAGAAAATGCCATTGGGAAACTGTGAGCAAAATAGAGATTCCAGAGCTCCCACGAGGCTGGGAGACATTGGAGTCCCAACTATCCAGAGTGGAGAGAGCTCACTGAATACTCTGAACCCTTAAATGACCCCCAGAAAGGCCATAGAATTAAAGATAAAAGCTAAAACTATAAAGCTTCTTAGAGAAAGCATCTTGGTGGTCTTGTGGTAGGCAAAGATTTCTTAGGACCTAGTAAATACTGACCATAAATGAAAAAATTTATAATTTTTACTTTATAAAAATTTAAAACTTCTGCTTCTCAAAAAATACCATTAAGAGACCAAACTGAAAATACATTTGTAGTACATATATTTGGCAAAAATCTTTTATCCAGAATACATAAAGAACTCCTACCACTCAAAAATGAAACAGACAAACCAGCTCTATTATTTTTTTTTAAGGGACAAAAGGCTTGGACAGGTATTTACTTTATAGTAAGGATCTATGAATGGCCAGTAAACACATGAAAATGCTCAACATCATTAATCATCAGGGAAATATGAATTAAAACCATGGAGATATATCCTTACACGCCCACCAAAATGGCTAAAATTAAGAAGACTGACAGTGGTAAATGTTGTCAGGCTGTGGAGCAATCAGAGCTCTCATACTTTGCTGGTAGAAAACAACCACTTTAGAAATCATTTCTGGCTGTTTCTCATGAAATTAAACAGACACCTACCTAATGACCCAGAAAGTACACTTTCTGATATTTACTTAAGAGAAATGAAAACATATATACACTAAAACACTTATGCAGAAATGTCCATAGGCAACTTTAGTCATACTAGCCAAAATGTAGTAATAACTCAAATCACCATTAACAGGAGAACGAATAAACAAATTGTGGTATAGTCATATAACAAAAGGAATGTACTATTGATACTTAACAATATGGATGGACCTCAGAAGCATTATGCTGATCAAAGAAAGACTAACACAAACAAGAATACACTCCGGGATATCATTTACATGAGGTTCTAGAATAGGCAAAACTAATGTATGGCTTGTAAAGTCAGAAGAGTGGTTGTCCAGGGACAGTGGGAATTGAGTACGAAGGGGCATAAGAGCATGTTCTGGGCTCATGGACATATTCTGCGTCTTTCCCCCCCTTTTTTTATTCTGTCTTTTTGTCAAACTAAGCCACAGGCTACACAATGCTCTTTAACTTGATATGTGTATGCAATGGTTAATCTGCAGTTTGTCAAAATACATTGAACTGCACATGGGAGAGCTGTGTATTATACTTTATGTTCCACCTCACCCTGGCTACACCTTTGAATCATCAGGGGAGTTTTAGAAAATATCGATACCTGGGCTCACTTTCAGAGATTCCAATTTAAATGTTCTGAGGAAAAGCCTAGGCATTAGGAATTTTTAAAACTCTCTAGATGGTTCTAACAGACAAGGTGGAAAACCGCTGTGTTGAAATTTGCTGAATTCCAGCCTCCAGGGTGTGGACCTAACTGATAGGCTCCTGTGTCAGCTTATGGCTGAAATTTTAGCATGTAGAGACTCATTTAGGCTAACTAAGTTTATGTGGGTAAGGGTCAATCGCTGTATTATTCAAAAGTCTAGAATTGGCATTGAATAATTATGCTTCCATCTTGGTGTCATTAAAATGTCCACATACATAATAGCTTTTTGGATCAAGCTACCACCATTTAAAATGCTTTGTCAGTTGAAATATGCCAGTAAGCTGTTACAGGTCTTATTATCGCTATAGTTGTTTTTATTATTGTTTATTATAGTATTTGGTACATGGTAGATGTATAATACTTAGTGAATTAATGAGATCCTGATAGTTGTCTTTGTGATGGTGTTATTGTTAAAAGGGACTGGATTATGAGAACCTTTCTTCTTTCTGAAGTTCTTTCTGCCTAGATCCCTTCCCTGGTTTACTTGTAACTTTCTTTTTCATTCTTTTTGAAATTGTTGCTATCTCTTTCTTGAATTCTAGGGATTAGGTTTAAGTTGATGATAAGGAGAAAATATCTACAATCTACAAATCAGATTTTCCATTGTACAAAGACCTACTGGTCTTGCCCCCCTGAGCTATTTTTCCAGTAGGTAAGGGGTTTGGGGAAATGAATGAAAAAGCTGATGTTTTCACACACTCACCTGGGACCATGGGTGTGCAGGGGCTAGCTAAGGGTGCAGTTTGTGATTCTAGGGCATTTTTTTTCCTGTGGAAAGTCAGTGTCCCTGGCTTCATTAGCACCCATATGTGACTCACTGTTAATGTGCTGAGACATTGTGGAGTCATCAAGGGGCACATGGTAAATTAGAGCTGTTCTAAAGCCCTTGGGGAAAATCCTAAGTCCCCACAGTTCAGGAGAACTCAAGTTGCTGGGCAGCTTCTACTTTTGGACAGAGAATGAAGCTCACTTCTATACCGCACTCCTCTATCACCCACCCCATACCCTTCTCCCCTCCTCCCATATCAACACACCCTTTAGTAGATATTTCTGGCTGTAAGTTAGCAAGTAAAGTTTTTAAAAAATACATATACTCCTGAGAGAATTAAGGCATGACTATCAGTCTTTCTAACCTTATGTGAATTTATTAAATTATTTTTGCTAGAACACCCCATTTGGAGACGTTATACACTAAGGAAATGGAGGGGAGGGCAATTTGGGAGCAAGAAGAGAAAGACAGCTTGGCTGGCAAGAGGGTACTTGAATAGGCAGAGGGTGTTGTGACAGTATTCTTGGCCTGAGATGGTAGGAAAGTGCCATAGATACACAGTTTCCTCTCGTGTCCTCCCCTCAGACAGGAAGTACCCTCCTCTATTATGGAACTATGATGCATATGTCTCTGCTTGCTGCCTTATCCTGCCTCAGGTGCCCTGGGTGACAGGTTGAGGTGGTCTAGGATGCACAGGTGAAGAAGGTAGAGGGCATGGGTAGGGTGAGGGAAAAGCAGCATAATCATGCACAGGGAAATTTCTGGTACAAGTGACCGTGTATACATGCTGGTAGCTGTGGGAAAGCATGGGCTCTGAGATGTTGCCTGTACCTAATACATAAGTGTATCTGGGTGTTTCCATAGAATGCCAGAGGGTTCAACATGAGCATCCCCATGCCTGGACATCCAGTTAACTTCTCCAGTGTCACCCTAGAGCAAGCCCGCAGGGATGTGGAGCAACTGGAGCAGCTCATCGAAAGCCACGATGTCATTTTCCTGCTGATGGACACCAGGGAGAGCCGCTGGCTTCCTGCCGTCATTGCTGCAAGCAAGAGAAAGGTAGAGTAAGCTGGGTGCCGTGGCACGCACCTGCAGTCCCAGCTACTAAGAAGGGTGAGGAGGGAACATCGCTTGAAGCCAGCTGGGCAACATAGTGAGACCCTATCTCTAAAAAAATAAGTTAAACAAAAAGCAAGAGAGAGGTAGAGCGTTGGGGGCACTCATCTCTGATTGCGACTTAGTGTGCCGCGGCTCCAGAGGGAGAAGTGCTCCCAGCCCGTCCCGCCCCAGGAAACAGGCGTGACTTGTATGACCTCATAGCGTAGCGCCAAAGGGCTTTCACTGCAGACTCTGTCTTTGCCTCACACCCCATCACCCACTATAGTAGGTATTGTCTGCTGCTTAATTTTCATAACAATCCTTTGAGATACTCTACCCTGAAAGGTGTACTGTATTGTATTAAAATGCAAGCTCTCGGTGAACAGAGGCTTTGTCTTATTTTCTACTATTAATATTTGGTTAGTGACAACTTCCAAGGGCCAACGGTATTGAGCAGTTCACTAAATCATGGTACATATCTGTGATAGAATAGTATGCATCCATTCACAGTTATGTTTTCAAAGGATTTTAATAATATGGAGAATACCATATTATGTTAAATAAGCAAGACACAATATTGTATATATTTTGTATCAATTATGTTTGTATATAAACATTTATATATGCCTGCCCTCCCCCCCCCCGCTCTGTTGAGAGAGGGCAGGAAAAAGGGCAAGAAGAAGGAAGAAAGAGAGGGAGGGAATGGGGGAAAAAAGGGGAAAATAGTAGGATGAAATGCCCTACTATTAATAGTAATTATTTGAGCTGTGGATAATGAGTGATTTTTATTTTCATTTCTAATATGGTATTTTTTTATTTTTCAAACTTTCTATGTGATCAGAAATTTGGAAGAACAAGTTAAATTAAACTAAGAAAAGTTTTTATAGTATAAATGAAAAAATCTGTGCCTTAAAAATCTCTGTGGAGAGTGAATTAGATGGTATGTGAATTATTTCTCAATAAAGCTGTTACAAAAACAAATCTATATGGACATGACAGAATATAGCATAATGGTGGAAAGAATGGGTTTGAGAATTCTATAGCCTCGGTTTTATATACCTACTTCTTACCAAACAAGTGACCTTGGGGAAGCTGTAGAATTGACTTCCCTGACTCTCAGTATCCTCATCTATAAATGAGAGTGTTTGTTAGGAGTTTTAAATGAAAGTAAATGAAATAGTTTATGTTAATCACATATTAAGTCTTTTGTACTTAATAAGTCCTAAGTGTTCAGTAGCTTTTATCGTGATTAACTTTTAGAATCTGATTACACTTATATGCAAAAATAAATTTTAAAAACTTTAAATTTTTAACTTTTTCAGCAAATATTCCCCAAATAAGGAATTAGCCATGCCTTGAAATATATGTCTCTTAACTCTGTTTTTTCTTCCTTGAAACCTGCAGCTGGTCATCAATGCTGCCTTGGGATTTGACACATTTGTTGTCATGAGACATGGCTTGAAGAAACCAAAGCATCAGGGAGCTGGGGACTTGTGTCCAAGCCACCCTGTGGTATCTGCGGACATCCTGGGCTCATCACTTTTTGCCAACATCCCTGGCTATAAGCTTGGCTGCTATTTCTGCAATGATGTGGTTGCCCCAGGAGATGTAAGTAGATTTCTTTGTAGTTCCAAATATTTCCTATGACCATCTTGGGCACTAAAGCAGAGAGACCAGCTCTTTCATTGAGACTAAATACTATCTTTTAACAAAGAGAAGAATTCTCCAATTTGGGGAAAATGGCATTATCCCACTGTGAGCCTCGATTGGCATCATCAATTGAGGTACGGCTGTTTTCTGTTCACCAGTATAAATGCAGTTACAAACCATTTTTGTGGAAAACTCAGTGAGGAAACCATAGCATGGACTGGTCCCTGATAGCACTCAGCATTGCTCCTGTGCTTATCTTAATAAAAAGAGCATTAAAAATGAGGAATCTAGGGGTTGGGTGTGGTGGCTCATGCCTGTAATCCTAGCACCTTGGGAGGCTGTGACAGGAGGATTGCTTGAAGTCAGGAGTTCAAAACTAGCCTGAGCAACAGTGAGACACCATCTCTACTAAAAATAGAAAAAATTAGCCAGTTGCAGTAGTGCATACCTATAGTCCCAGCCACTTGGGAGACTGAGGCAGAAGGATCGCTTGAACCCAGGAGTGTGAGGTTGCAGTGAGCTATAATGAGGTGCCACTGCACTGTATCCCAAACGACAGATTGAGACCCTGTCACCAAAAAACAACAACAAAAGAGGAGTCTAAAGACCCAGATTCCATCCAGCCCTTTACACTGCCTCACAGGAAATTCAGAATAAGTCTCTTAGGTTCCCTGTGCCTCTGCAAAATGGGAGTGGGGCATAGGCTAACAGATTTAGCAAGTAAAAATACAGGATTCCCAGCTAACTTTGAATTTCAGATAAGTAATGAATGATTTTTTAGTATAAATATGTCCCATGCAATATTTGAGACTTCCTCATACTAAAAAAGTATTTATTATTTACCTGAAATTCAAATTTAACTGCACATCTTGTATTTTATCTGGCAACCCTAGTAGGGGAGGGAAGAATACTTGCCCTGTCAACTCACTGTGCAAAGTGGGTCAAGTGTGAAAGTGCTTCAAACAGCAAGACCACACTGTATAAATATAAGATTCTGGAGCTTTCATGACACCACACAAGCCAGTCTATAGGAATGTTTTTGTATTAGCAGAACAGATAGTAATTTCCAGTGAAGCAAAGCAGGGATGTTTTCTGTACCCTCCCTTCTATTTTTCCTTTCTTTTAAAACTTGTTCCTTATTAACTCAGACCTCTTTTGGATGACTGGCTTTTATGTTTTCTCAATATAACGGAAATTTAAGAGAAGATAGGGTGGCTTGATGATTTCCATCATGGTATTATCATATACAACTGGTCTTGCTATTTAGTTATTGCCAACAAATTGGATTAAGGGGCCATTGCTGTAGAGTCACATCTGTTCATAAGGTGAAATTTTCAGAGTCAAAATTATCTCTAACACCTCTTAATTTGCCCACAGTTGGAAGGTTAGAATTTCTTTGGTTGAACCAGTGAAGGCTTGTGTTTGGAGCCATGTTATAGAAAAAATATGTGTAGTTAAACCTTAAGATCATACTCAGAGTGAGGAGATGCCCATGTTGTTAGAGGCACATAGGAACTGAGGACTGCAGGAATAGTAAATTACTGCTCCCATCTTATACTCTGAGACATTAACTCAGGTAGAATGACAGGGTGAGTCAACTGCGCTGTTCAAATTATTATTTCTTTGTGTGTGTGTGTGTGTGTGTGTGTATCTCTTGTAACTACCAAGCACAATGGAATTGAATTGAGTCAGTTAATGGTGCACATGATGCAGCTGTGCTATAGGAGGCAGCTAAGCCATACTTTTCATTGATATCATCCAGTATTTAATTTGTTTAAGCTGCTGATCCTTTTAAGCACATTACCTCATTTAGTTCCTAAATTGTATATTTTGTTTATCTTGATAATCCCAAGAAATGATGTTATCTGAGGCTGGATGGTTTTTGCCAACAATGAGCATCTGGTTATATTTTAAAGCTTTATAATAGTTTTTTGCTTCAGACAGCTGGAGTTGAGTGGACTAGGACTTGCAGCACACATTAGTGATTGTTTCTCTAGTCCACCAGAGACCGGACCTTGGACCAGCAATGCACCGTGAGTCGCCCAGGACTGGCCATGATTGCAGGAGCCCTGGCAGTGGAATTGATGGTTTCTGTTTTGCAGCATCCAGAAGGGTGAGTTTGATGGTAGGAGATGGGTGTTTATACAAAGAAAGCTTTTGTAGGCACTTGTTCTTCAGCGTCTCCCTTGGCGTTTGGTCAGTCTGACCTTTCTGAGAATTTTATTGCTCTTTCTATCCTCAAAAAACAAGACTTAAAAAACTGGGCCTGGTTCTTTGGCCTGAAAGAAGTTGTCATGCAATCTTTGGGACTACATCTCTGCATTCTTCTGGAGTTGAATTCTTCTAGAGTTATTTGGAAACTAATAATGAGGAAGAATAAAAATTTTGGTAGGGACCTTAGGATTTTTATGCCTCTATTCTGTTAGTAAGTTTTGGTTTTCTTATCCCTGAACACTTGTAAGGGAATACAGAAATCATTGATGTTAGAAATTGCATTCAGCTTCAGTGATGTAGCCAAATGAGGCTGTATCTTTCTTACGGAGCAAGAAGTTCAGAGGCCAGCGGTCCAGGGCTGGTTCAAAGGCTCCATTATGAGATCAGGATCTTGAATTCCTCCTTCTCACTTAGCCACTCTTAGCTTTCTTCCTTATGCTTGTCACCTTGTGGTCACAGGATGGCTGTTTTACCTTCAGTATTGCTTCTGTGTTATAGTTTAGAAGAAAGGCATAACTAAAGAGTAAAAGTTGCAGTCAGCTGAGTCTGCCCCTTTTTAAAGAGCTTTCTTGGAAAACTAACTCATTGATTTAATTCCTGTATCACATGGCCACTCCTAGCTGCAAGGAAGACTGCCAAGTACATTTTTTTTTTTTTTTTTTGGCTAGGCAGATTGCCTCTCTGAATAAAATTCTGATAAGGTAGAAGAGGAGAATGGATGTTGGATAGATAACCAGAAGTATCTGCACACTCATTTTAAAATTTTCTTTATATTTTAAACCCCAGGCAATATTATTATTGTTATATAATTGGTATTTGTTTAGTTTTGCTAACATATTTTTTTCTTAAAATATTGCTTCTGCCGTATTCTCTCTTTCTCTTTTCCTTTTGAGACTCCAATTGCATGTCAGCTAGAATCAACCTATGTGTCCTTCATGCTTTTTTTTCTATATTTTCAATCATGTTGTCTTTCAGTCTGGCTGTTGACTTAGCTTCTAGTTTACTAATTCTCTCTTCCTCTGTGTATAAAATGTGTTAACACCATCCATCAAGTTTTTAATTTTATTATTATGTTTCAGGTCTAGAATTTCCAATTGATCCTATTCTCTGCTAAAACTGTGATTTTGATCTTTTTGATTCCTTGGAAACATTTAGTCATGTTTTTCTTTTAAGTCTTTGTCAGATATCTCCATTATCTGGATCTCCTATGGGTCTGTTCTTATTGTCTATTGTTTTTCTTGGTTTTTGGTCATGTATTGTTTCCTTAGATAACTGGCTTTTAAAAAAACAAAAAACTTTTTATTGTGGAAAATTTAAACATATATGAAAGAAGATATATCTGTAGCTATGTCTCCCCTTGTATATCTGCCCAGCTTCAACAATTACTAACATATGGCCAATCATTGTTTGTTTATACTATCTATAGTGTTGTCTACATTTTTCCTCCTCTCACTGGCTTATTTTTAAAGCAAATCTAAGACATAGCATTTCATTCATAAAAATGTATTTTTTTAGTATATATTGCTACTGCTTTTACATGTAAAAATAAAGGCAATTCCTTAATATCATCACATACCCAATTAGTATTTAAATTTCTCTGGTACTCTAATATCTTTGATTATTTTTTGGTGAATACTAAACATTATAAATGAAAAAGTATAGAGATGATGTTGATTTACATTTTTTTTTTTTTTTTTTGGCTAACCACTAGGCTAAGTGCACTAGCAGTCCTAGAACACTTTAATCCAGTTAGGGCTGGTCTAGTTCTGGTTCACCCTACTTTGAGGAGGTATCCCCCAGTGAGCCCAAGCCAAAGCTTGGGATGGCTTTCCTGGCTCCTCCTTAGCAGCAGACCTCAATCTCCAGTCTTTCCTCCTAGCCCCACGAGTCTGCCAATGTCACTGTTCAACTTCGCATCTTATGGCCGCTGCCTTTGGAGGGCTGCAGTCGCTTTGTGGGGATAGCCCCCTGGCAGGTGCCTGAGTTGCCTTTATGGGCCTCTCTCCTCGTACAGGTCTTGGCTCTAGAATTTGTCCCTATCTGATGCTTTCAAACATAGGTTTTTACACTCTGTCTAGCTTTTCTATTTATTCTCAATTGGAGGGTTGGTGCTGACCACCTAGTGCATCAGTGCCACACCAATTTTTAAAATATTTTTTAAAAATTTATTACACTTTCATAGTGTATTAGGCTTGCGTGTGAGAAGAAAGAAATGAATGGGCTGGTGTTTTTGTTTCATCTTGACCTTGGGCTTCTTAGTAGTCTGTATGTCTTTCACATTGTATATATGTTATATTCCATGTACAAAAATTAGCACAGTTGTGATCTGGACACTCTGTCTTCTCGAAACAAGAAGATCTTACTTTACGACTTACAAACAATGGAATTAATTCTTCTTGCATTAAATAGAAGTGAGACAAAAATTAATTTATTTTATTATTATTGTTTTAGCCCTCATACCTTGAAGACAATAAATATTCCCTTTAAAAATAGTAATTTAAAAAAAGAAAAAAGGAAAGGAAAGGAGGAAAAGAGAAGAAAAAAGGTAATAATTTTAGATTCTCTCAATATCTGGCTAAGACTGTGCTGTCAAGTGCCAGATAGTCAAGCCAGACTGAAGTCAAACAGTTATTCACACCTAACTATATGACAAGTACACTATGGTTTATTTGATTTTTCAAACATTTATATAATGTCTACTTTGTGCTAGGCACTGCTCTAAGCACTTTACAAATATCACCTCTTTTACTCCTCATAGCAAACTGTTAGGAAAGAGCTGTTATAATTATTCCCATTTTTGACAGGGAAATTGGGGCATAGTGAGCATAAGTAAGCGGCTGAACTCACACAGTAAGTGGAACAGCCAGGACTTAGCCCAGCCATTGTGGCTCCAAATGGTTTTTGATAACTGTGCTATGCTGTTTGTAATACAGGCAAGAGAAGATCGAATTTTTAAAAGATTTATTTTTCTAATTCTCAGAAAGTCAGCATGCAAATTAACATGAATATTCTATTTATCGTGTGACTCAGACTGCTTTTCTCCACAGTTGAAAAGATGGCCCTTGTGAGATTTTGGTAGCATATGGAACTAGCATAGATCCTCCAGGGTTGAATGAAAAGCAATAGCATTTTTTTTTTTGTCTTCCTCTTATCTTTGTCATCCACCTTAGCTATCCCTGTTGTTTAAGTTTAGTGCCAACTCCTGATAGGAAGTATTTGAGATAAAATCTTGGAGAACTGATTTTATGCTCCCTTGACCCTGTGTCTGCCACATTTTCCCTGGTCGTAGATTAAAAACCAGCTCATGTGTTGCATCTATTTGGTGACACAAGTAAGCATCACACCGTTGCTCTAGGAGGAATGCATTACTTCTCTTGCCCAATTATTCTTTACTTCTATTTTTGTATTTTGGTAACATTTATATCAACTAAACAAGTTAAGGTTAGAAAGTTTCCCACTTAAAACTTTCAATACAAAAATATGCTTTGGTGTTTTACAAGACTGCCTCAGAGTAAGGCAGTTGATGTTTTTGGCCTATCATGTGCCAAACGTTGCTCTTGGCACTTTATCTAGTAGAGTATATTCTTTACTTTTTCCTCACAACCCCCTTAGTCCTATTTTATAGATGCTGGACCTGAAGCACTGAGACACGTTAAGCACCTTGCCTATGGTCACAAGCTCTGGTCTTTCTGGCTCCCATCCATACATTTCTTTTATTACTCTTCTTGCCTTCCCTCCCAGGGAAATTAGTTTTTTGCTAGCTTTGCTGCCCAGCAAGGGGCATTTTAGGTATCCTTATAAATCTTACATAGATGTCTGCCAGATCATCTTCACAAGTTACACATAAACTTTGATTAAGTGAACGGCTTTAATTGTTTCCTTTCCTCAGGGGCTATGCCATTGCCAGCAGCAGTGACGATCGCATGAATGAGCCTCCAACTTCTCTTGGGCTTGTGCCTCACCAGGTTAGTGATTTGGAAATGAAATCACAATTCTCGACCTGATCCCATTGGTGCAAGGGGAAAGCATGTGGGCTCACTTTGCCATTGCATCAACCCAGCCCACCTCATATCCATCCTACTCATCCTCCAGCTGGGATTTCAGTGGGGGAGCTTTATGACTGCCTAGAAGGCCTGCCTTGCTGTGAAATGGTGAGGAGGAGACATCGTGAGCAAGCAGCACTGCCCAGAGTCTTTGATGCATTAGTAAGCAGACGAGAGACCTCATCATGGAGTAGAAAAAGAAAGAACAGGCTTTGGAATCAGCCAGATAATGGTTTAAATCCCAGCCCTGTAGTTATTAAGACGGCCTTCCTTGGACGAGTCGCTAAACTTCTTTGAGCCTTGGTTCTCTTATCCGTAAAATGGAGAAAGTAATACTTATCTTTTCTGGTAGTCGCACAGACTAGGGGTGATAGAAAGGGCTCAGCAACGGTGTATATTGTAGGCCCTCAAAAAATATGATCCCTGCTATTTTTGTTGCTGTTGTTTGCTTATTGACTCTCTACCCAAATAGAAGACTTTTATGGGCAAGCATGGGAAAACCATTAGAAGCACACAGTGTCACCAAAAAGCAAGATGTCTTGTCAGAAAAAGAATCATAAGGAAGGTCCATCCCTTAGGAACTGAAAAAGAAAAAAGCGGTGAGGTAAAAAATTAGAATCCATGTTGCCTCTTCCGTAGTTTTCATTACTATATTTTCAGAATGTTGAAGAGGTTTTCCAGGCTGTTGGAAATCATTTTTCTAGGTTCCACGCATATATTCTGGCCTATAAAGTGAAGGTGGTCCCCAGTGAAGTGGTGAATGCGCCCATCAGTCCCATCTGAGGATCTGCAAGGACAGACTTGCAGACAAGTGCAGAAAGCAGAGTGACTCCTGCTGTTCACACTTGTCTCTCTCTCTCTCTCCTGTTGTCTAGGACAGCCCTATCATTTTTTAGTTGCGGATGAGAATCAGAAGAGAAGAAATGACTTGTGCACAGTCTAAGAGAAAGTTAGTGGATAAGCCACAATCCAAACCTAAACTCGACGCTCTACCTAGTGTTCTTTCAAAGGTTATGTGATTAGAAGGAGCCCTGGCCTGCACGTTGGGAGATACAGCTTCCAGTCGCTACCCTAGCACTGTTGCACTAAGCCACCCGTCATGGAACTTGCATTAGTTCACTTCACCTCCCCGAGTCTCAGTTTCCGTGTCATTCAAAGCAGGTGCTTTACCTGGTGTCCAGGGCTACATCTGACAAGGCCTTGTGAACCACAAAGCACTGTGAAAATACAACTTTTCCCTCCTACCTCACACAAGGTAGCATTTGTTTGGCATCAACGTGTTAATCTTCTCTACAGAGACATTTCACGTAGAACCCAACAGACAGTGTTATGACCATCTAGCATACGGAAGCTGCCTCCAGGGCTGGCCCCTGCTATTTATGCTTTTGTGTTGCATTCGAATCACTTTGCAGGTCTCCCTGCCTTTCTTCTAACCTTGAGATGTGCCTTCCTTTCCTTTATAGATTTTATACTGATAAGGGCCTTAATTAAATTTTCAGTCATGCCTCTGCACTGGTTTCCTTCTTTAAGTCTTTTTTGTTAAATTATTGCAGTTGGAGTTTTCTCAGTGCTGAGGCCAGAGGGCAAAACAGTCTCTTTATAGAAGGGGGCCAGTGTCAAAATGCATGTGCTCTTGTTTTTAAAGTACTATGGCAACAAATCCCTCTTCATGTTATTTATCCCCATTGAGGCTCACAATTATTTGCCATTCACCAACTCTTCTAGTTTTTTCTCCTCATTTTCAAATGTCTGAGGGATTATTTTGGTTGTTGGCCATCTCTTCATTTGGCCTTTTCAAAGACCAAAGAATAACGCTGCCATATATGGGAAAAGCCCAGTGTGTGTGTGTGATTACTTGCTTACATTATTTCAAGTTTCAAGCCTTTATTTTTAGCTACTTTCTAAAAAAGAAAGCAGAGAAAGAACTTTAAAACTTAATCAGGGTTGTGTGGTCCCCATTTATAGGCTTTAAACAACTCTTTTTTTTTTTCTTAAGTGGAGTGAGTCCATTTATGCAACCGTGTTTTGATTAGGGGAACAGCGTTTCCACAAAAACACTGGGCTGTGTTGCAATGCCCTGTTGCAGACTCAGCGCTTCCCTCCTCTTCTTCCTGGCTGTCTGAGACAAATGATTTCCTGTTGGAGAGGAACTTGGTCAACCCCTTTGTGTACTTTGTATGCAAAGAATGACCCGTGGAGTTTACTGGGCTCATTTTTCTCAGTTCCCCAAAGGAGAATGTTTATTAATTGGCCCCTGCGGAATGAGATGTAGTAGAAAAGTGATAGCCCTTGGACCAAGAATCACAAGGCCCCCCAGCAGCAACTCATTGTGTAATTTGGAGAAAGTTTCTTAACTTTTCCTGCACTCTCTGGGTCTCTGCTCTCCTCTGCATCAGACCTGGGAGGCCTGAGGATTACTTACTTGTTCTCTCTGTGGGACTGTAGGCAGAATTTGGCCCATCCAAAAATTGGCCAAGTACAGAAAAAGGCCTGATTAGGCCCTGAAGTTCAAGGAAATTATGCCTGAAAAAACCTCTTATTGAATTTGAAAACCGTGAAAAAACATTTAAGGTGAAAAAAATAGGCTTATGGATTTCTCGGGTTTTTTGGCTTTTTAAGTGTCTGTCTCAATGTACGTGAATTAGATTTTACAAGCAGGTAGCCATAAGTATAAGCTATAATTAATACTTTCTGTCTATAAAGAGAATGATTTTTCCAAAATCATTTTGTCATTGCATAAAATACATATAAATAATCATGAAAATTATTAAATGTATAATGTGTTGAATTATCACAAAATGAACACAGTCCTATACCCAGCACACAGATCAAAATAAAATGTTAACAAGCATCCCCCCAAACCCCCTTATGCTTATTCCAATTATTGTTGCCTCCTTCCTACAGAGTGATAAGTACCTCTTGACTCTCAACACCATAGGAGATGATTCTGAACTTCTGTAAATAGAAATCATATAGTATATACTCTTTGGGGTCTGTCTGCTTTTGCAGAGAGAACTTTTTCATTATAAATTTTAGCATGATAGTGTTGTTCCTTTTGGTTCCCATCAACTGGGTTCTTTCATTCAGAAAGAAAGAAAGTTGTCTTTTTCCTGAGCTGGTGGCTAAACTCTGCATGGCCAGACCCTTTTTCTGGTTCTTTTGTGGGAGGCACAGTTCAGGAATTATAAAATGTACAGGCCACTCAATATCTCTAGGAAGTTGGTTTGCCAGCCGGTGAGAGATCCTTAATATAACAGAAACTAACAGCCTATTGGCCTGCTGATCCTTTGGGTGGACATACTGAGAGAATGATAAAAACAAGGTAATGCTACAACAATTGTCCAGACAGAAAGGTCATTGATGTAGCTAGTAGTCCTGCTTTTATCCTAGTTGTGGACGAAACAGTTCACATTTTTTGTCTTTGGGTGAATGTACTCTTGGTTAAAGTACTGATGAAAAAGACCCTGAATTGCTATGCCCTTCTGGGTTTGGACTTACTAACCCCACGGTTCTCTCAGGCTCTTGAATTCTTTCTTTCAATTAGTTTTAGAAAAGGAGAATAAAGCCAGAATGAGGGCAGGACCCTAGGAAGGATCTGGCATGGGAAACCTCTCATTGAGACAAATGCTGAGATAGAGCTGGAGTCCCTAGCCTTGTCTGTGCTGCTATTATTTGGCGCCTCTGCACAGGCTGCGCTCCCCAAATCCTCAGGCCTTTAGCTTTTAACAACTTTTCTCTACTGTGCTCAGGAGTATTTATCTCAGTGTGCCCCTAGCAATATGGACAGATTGACTGCTGAAAAGGGAAGTTTTAGAAGATAAGCAGCAAGAAAATATTCCCTGAGATGTAGCCCAGGAAAAGGAATGTCCTTTTCCCTCTAGTTCTGTACTCCTCAGGTTGACGATGATGGAAATGGCAGGAGAAATGGGCAGGCCACATGTTTCATATCAGCTGTTCATCCTATCTCCCTTCCTCCATCCAACCGTCTCTTCCCAGATGCTGACCCTGCACCAAGCACTATTGAGTTCAGAGAAGTTAAGTAACCTGCACATGGTCACTCTGTGTTGAGTTCCATTTGCTTTGGGGATCATCTAAGCCATTTGGATATAGTAGAATCTCGTTCCAGTAGGAAGGTCCCAGGATATAAGGAACAATCTGTGAATAAGACCATGCCTTGGCTTCCTCTAAGGTCCTAGGAGAGGGGATTCCCCTTCCCTAGAGGATAAATTATAGATAATGTCAGAGTTCAAAAGCATCTCAGCCTTTATCTCTTATCCCAAGAGCCGTTGGGCCTAATTTTTTAAGTTGAAGGATGTCACTTTACCCCTTGAATTTTCTCACCCGATGTGGCTGTCCTGTTTGGGAGGTCTCATGTAGGAGGCAGCCAGAAGGCTTTGTGATTGTACAGATCTGTTTAGAATCCCAGCTTTTCCTCTTAATTTCACATTCATTATCTCATTTCACAAAATGATTTGAAGCAGCTCTTGCCACTTGTCACTGTGTGACCTTGGGCAGGTTACTTATCCTCCTTTAACCTCATGTTTTATATCCCTGTAAAACAGGGATAATATAATCCTGTACAGATTAACACATTAACTGCCATGTGAGTTGTATTTGACTCACACTAGTTTTGAGCCTGGGGCCTCGTGAAGCAAAACTTAGGCAAAACCTTGCAAGTTGATTCATGAAAATCTTGTTGATGTTCTTATTGTTACAATAATATTGATGAATTAATTCTAAAAATGAAGATTAAATGAATAGAAGTCAATCAATTTAGTTTTTCTATTTATGTTTACCTTTAAATTACACTTAAGTCAGACAAGAAAAACACTTTACCCTAATGAACTATTTTTCAAATTACTTTTTACATTACTAATTTTCAAGTTTTTTATTAAAAAAACACAAAACAATAAAAATAACAA